CAAAACAACACTGTCCAAACATCAAAACAATAATCACACCTGTGCAGAGCACTGACCATGCAGGTGCTCAAGAAACCCCAACCTGAAAGCGGATCCACATATTTTCCCACAATATAAATATATAAATATACACACCCCATACCATCATCATGTACTAAGGGAAAACAATCCAACCGAAGGATTATTTTAACTAGACCACATGGCAGAATCCTCAATACTCATGTGGCTAGGGAATGAGTAGTCCAACCGAGGGACTATTACTCTCTAGACACGCACGGTAGAATCCTCAATACACGTGCGGCTGAATATCCCTCCTACGCTCGCAGACTGCCGGTCAAGGCCTTCGGTACACCTGATCGAGGGTGCCCAGTATCCCAACACACCTCCGAAGAGTTACCGCGTGTCAAATATATCAAGTATCAATAATAGGGGAGGTACATATTATAGTGCGCATATCATGTACTAGGGGAAAACAATTCAACACGGGGACTGTTTTACTAGACCACATGGCAGAATCCTCAATACTCATATGGCTAGGGAATGAGCAGTCCAATTGGGGGACTATTGCTCCCCAAACACGTATGGTATAATTCTCAATACACGTGCGGCTGAAACAAGTCTTACGCGAGGGGAATGCCAGTTAAGGCCTACAGCACACCCAACCAAGGGTGCCGGGATCATCAACATCTCACACGTCGGAAAATCCCACAACACACGTGTGGTTATCATCCAAATCGAACCAGGGAAGGCACATATGATGGTGCAATTTACAAACCCACATTCCAATATATATATCTCCACTTCCAACTCAACATGCAAACCTTTATACATAATAATGATAACGACAATAATAGTAATACTAACAATAGTAAAAACCATAACAATAATAACTATGTATTCTCAAGTCACAATGTAAAAGTCGAAACCAATTCGATAGCACATTTTTCAAAACTCCATTAACCAAATACTAATTTCCAAATCATTTAGTTTTCCACCATCAAATTCGAATTTTAGGCTCACACAGAAAATATCTCCATTCAACACCAAAACATGCATCAATTCACACCATCCCCGTAACCCAATTTGCATCACAAATAAACACAATAATAGTAATAATAACAATAGTAAAAACCATAATAATAAGGCTTAATATCACAAAACGTCCCTAAGGTTTACGAAACTATCATATTGCATCCTTAATGTTTTTTTTGTGTCACTCGTGGTCCTCAAGGTTAGTATGTGCGATCACAAATGGTCCCTATCGTTAGGTTCCGTCAAAAACTCCGTTAGTTTGCTGACATGGCATATATATATATATCACAAAATATCCCCGAGGTTCACACACCTATCACAAATGGTCCCTACAAAATTTTTTAATTTTTTAATTTAAAAATCATAAAATTTTGGTTTTACTTTATCCTTAATGTTTTTTTGTGTCATTCGTGGTCCTCAAGGTTAGTATGTGTGATCACAAATGGTCTCCGCCGTTAGGTTCCGTCAAAAACTCCGTTAGTTTGCTGACATGGCATATATATATATATATATATCACAAAATATCCCCGAGGTTCACACACCTATCACAAATGGTCCCTACAAATTTTTTTAATTTTTTAATTTAAAAATCATAAAATTTTGGTTTTACTTTTTAAACTATTTATAAATGAAAAAATCATTTATAAAAGGATTTTAATCTTGATGACCATTTATAAACCCTGAACCCTTAGTTTTTTCATTTTTAAATTTTATGAATTTTAAATTATTTTTCAAAAACTCCATTAGTTTGTTGATGTGGCATATATATGGAGCCCACATCTACAATAATATAGTGTCACGTGTATTTAAAATATAATTTATATTTTTAAATAATTTAAAATTCATAAAATTTTAAAAAAGAAAACCAAAATTTTATGAATTTTAAATTAAAAAATTTAAAACATTTGCAGGGGACCATTTGTGATAGGTGCGTGAACCTCAGGGATGTTTTGTGAGATATATATATATGTCACGTCAGCAAACTAACGGAGTTTTTGACGGAACCTAACGGCGGAGACCATTTGTGATCACACATACTAACCTTGAGGACCACGAATGACACAAAAAAACATTAAGGATGCAATCTGATAGTTTCGTAAACCTTAGGGAAGTTTTGTGATAATAAACCTAATAATAATAACTATGTATTCTCAAGTCATAATGTAAAAGCCGAAACCAATCCGATAGCACATTTTTCAAAACTACATTAACCAAATACTAATTTCCAATTCGAATTTCACGCTTGCACAGAAAATATCGCCATTCAACACCAAAACATGCATCAATTCACACCATCCCCATAAACCATTTTGCATCACAAATAAACACACACAAATACATACATTCCAAAATTACGAAAGCGATGCACATTTAAAATAAATGTCCAACTATTAGAACTCAGTAATCGACCTCAATCGTGAATTAAATTCAAAACCCTAGCTCCCGGAAACTTAACGTGTGTACACAACTTTAGAAAGGTCCTAAGGCCATTCTAGTACTTTCCCCAAAGGATGAGACGGTCTCAAAAGACCCGTGGCCAACAGTTTGGTTCGCACCCTGCAAGAATTCCTGAGTTAAGAAATCAAGGAGTGCGTTAGTTTCACCTTTAATAAATTCAATATCAAAATCGAAAGCAGAAAGTATTCCTTGCCATCGTGCAAATATACTACCGAACGGCTCGTGCACTTGCGAGTATCACAAGTTGAGGATGCAACTGAATCCATTTTGGTGCAGCTGTATCTACACAACAATGGTCTCAAAAGACCCGTGGCCAACAGTTTGGTCAAACTTCCCATTTTTGGTCAACCAGGCCCGCGGGGCCCGCAATCTCTGATTTCCAATCCAAAGGTTCCTATAGGTCCAACAATGTCTACTAACCAAGTCTCAACGGTTTAGTCTCGATTGAGCAGTCGGATCGCTCTCGATCGGAAGGTAACTAGTTTACCTAACCCCAAATTTATTGACTCGAAGTATCCGGGACTCAGATTCTCGATCCACAAGTTTCCACACAATCCAAGAGATACAAGGAACTACTTGTTTGAAGATGGACTGATCGAACGGTCTGAACCTATTGAACCCGGATATCGCATATTGGGTGCAATATTCGTTCGACTGTCGAACGGTAACCAATTCGAAATCCGAGCATACCGTCGTACTCAAGATGACAAGGAGAACATTTTAGAACCTAATGGGCCACCACAAAGTGGTCCACACGCCTCCACCGGCCGTCTGCAGCGCATGGGTGCCTTAAGTAATTTCCGGCAACCGGAAAACTCCAAATCTCCAGTCAATACCCATGCCATTAGAATTAGACTACTTAGGGGATCAACCTTTGTTCTTGGACCACGGCCAAAAACTGGCTGGAACTAGCCGGATTGAAGCCGAAACCGTCGGCATAATTGGGGGTTAGAAATTGATCTCTAAAACCTCAAAATTAACAAAACCAAACACATAGACAGGTAGGGCACGATGAGAGGATGAAGTTTCATACATGGTTTGACAATTTTGACCCCCGAAATCGCCGGAAATCACACAAACACCGCCGCCGACGACGAACAAGGGTTTTGGCTTGGTTTCAGTCCAAAATCGCAACCAATCTTGGAGTTTCAAAGGTGGAAATGGGTATGGACGTGTAGAGGAGGAAGAGACGAACATTTTGTGGGTTGTGGCATTGCCGGCTGTGGTCGGACGGAGGAGAAAACCCCAGCCAAAGTGGCCGGTCTGTTTTCGTGAAGGGGGGAGAGAGAGAGAGAGAGAGAGAGAGAGAGAGAGAGAATGATAGACTTGCAAAATTTACGGTTGTGCCACGACACTTCTGTATATTAAAACTTCTTCGTTTTAACTCTGAATTGAACCAACTACGTGTCTACAAACTCATGAGAGTGAGCTCTAAGCAAAAGTGCCACTCAATTCCCCAAAATCCTTCCGAAACAAAAAGTGACTAAAGTGCCCCTACTTCCGAGGGTAAAAATGTAATTGCGCACATAAAATAAATTGAATAAGACGATTAAACTGGGTCGGGGTGTTACATTTGGAGCTTCAATCTAAGCTCTGTTGTTCAGCTTGTTCAATTTCTCCCTTTTTTTTTTTTCTTTTTTATGTTCGATTTTCATCCTCTTTTGTGGTTTTTGCACTGCTTTTTATGTTTTCTTCATGCTGTTGCAGTTTTATCAAGAATCAAGCTCAATTTTGTGGTGCGATCTCTTCTGTGCTTTGGTCTAGTGCGATCATGTTCAATTTTTTTGGTTTTTTTTCGTTCTCTTAAGATTGTGTTTGTTATGGTGTGATTTCATCTTCTCACGTGAAGCTCTATTTTTCGTTTGGTGAGGTATGTATTTTCTCGATCAGATTCTTATTTCAATTTTGTAGTTATGTTTTGGTTTGAGAAGTTGATTTTTGAAGTCTTTGATGTAGATTTTGTTTTCATGCCTTTTGTGATAAGATTTGAGTTTGGAGGTGCTGTTTTGTTGGGGATTTTTTCAGAATTTGTTGTTGAGGTATGAGTACTTGGAATCTATTATTCGTTTATAATTTTGGTAGTATTTGTTAACTTAAATACTGCATACATAAAGAACATTTGCACAGCAGGTCAATGGTTAGGAGTGAGAAGAATCAGATCCTGATTCTTCTCCCTTGATGAGTGCATTTGCATTGACACCCCCCCGCAAACTGAGCGGCCTAGGATGAACAAGTTTGTTACAGAGGAGATGATGACGCGGTTTGTGAAGAGGCTTAGTAAGGAGATCAGCTGGTTGATCAATAGAGGGAATGAAGCACACTTGATGACTACCAAGAGCAACCTTCTCACGAACAAAGTGATAGTCGAGTTCGATGTGTCGCGTTCGAGCATGAAAAACCGGGTTGGCAGCCATATAAGTGGTGCTAAGGTTTTCACAATGTAGGAGAACAGGAAATTGCAATTGGACACCTAACTCAAATAACAGTGAACAGAGCCACGAGGATTCGGCTCAAGCATGAGCAAGAGTGCGGTACTCAGATTCTGCACTTGAGCGTGACACAGTGGGTTGCTTCTTGGAGCACCAGGAGATAAGGTTGGAGCCCAAGTAGATAAGGTAGCCAGTCGTAGAACGCAGCAAGTCAGGGCAACCAGCCCAATCCGCATCTGAGTATACCAGAAGTCGAGAAGAGGCATGTTGCGGCTGGAAAGTGAGACCAAAATCAAGTGTGCCTTTGACATAGCGAAGGATCCGTTTGACAGCAACCATGTGAGTAGAGCGAGGGGAGCTCATAAATTGGGCAACAGTGTTGACTGCAAATGAGATGTCAGGGCGGGTGAGGGTGAGATACTGTAGACTCCCAACAAGTTCACAATATTCAGTGGGAGAGTCAAGCAAGGCACCCTTAGTTGCTGTGAGTAGTGGTTTTGCAGCAAGGGGAGTAGGGGCAGGCTGTGCATGTATGAGATTACTCTTTTGAAGCAAATCATGAGCATATTGAAGTTGATTAAGATGAAGAGCACCATCCTGAGAATGAACCTGTAAACCCAAGAAGTAGCTAAGAGGACTAAGGTCCTTAATGTCAAAATTGTGACCCAAAAGAGCAATAAAGGTTTGTAAGAGAGAGGAATCGCTGCCAGTAATGACTATGTCATCAACATATAGGAGAAGAAACATAGTACGAGAAGCATGCCGCAAAATAAAGAGTGAGGAGTCAGCCAAACTTCGATGAAAGCCCACAGAGAGTAGGAAAGTGCTAATGCGGATCAACCATGCACGTGGAGCTTGTTTGAGGCCATAAAGGGATTTGTGGAGCTTGCACACATGATGAGGGTGAGCAGGATCCACAAAGCCAGGGGGCTGAATCATGTACATGTCCTTGTTCAAAAACCCATGAAGAAAAGCGTTCTTGACATCTAGGTGGCGCAAGGGCTAGCCACGGGAAGTAGCAAGACTGAGTACCGTGCGAATGATGGGTGGTTTGACAACGGGGCTGAAGGTCTCCGAGTAGTCAATGCCTGGACATTGGTGGTAGCCCTTAGCAACTAGGCGTGCTTTATAGCGTTCTATAGTGCCATCAGAATTACGCTTGATGCGAAAGACCCATTTGCATTCGACAGGAGTATGATTGGAAGATGGAGGAACAAGGGACCAAGTTTTATTCCGTAGCAAAGCATTGATTTCTTCCGACATTGCAGCACACCATTTAGGATGTGTGGTAGCCTGAGAAAAACAAGTTGGTTCAGTATTTTCAAGCACAGTTAAAAGAGCACGGGGAATGGGGTATCGTATAGTGCCATTTGTGTGGTGCTTGGGCTGCGTGATGCCGTCACGGAGACGAGTCCCCATGGGATGAACAGGTGGCGGCGGCGCTGGTCCTGTAGGTTGTGGGGGAGCAAGGTCCGTAGTGGCAAGTGGATCATGGATTAGCTGTGCTGGCGCCGTTGGTATGCGATGTCTTCTGGAGTATGTGTGGAGCAAGGGCTGGACTGGTTATGAAGATGGAGGAGTGTCGGAAGCTTGTGGAAGGATAGAGGTGCCAGAAGCATGTGGTGTGATGGAGGTGCCGGAAGCTTGTGGAAGGATGGAGGTGTCGGAAGCTTGTGGGAGGATGGAGGTGCCGGAACCTGGGGGCGGCAGAGGTGCTGGAAAAGGGTGGCTGTGCTGTTGTTGCAAGGTCGAATGAGTCATGAAGTGATGGACTTGGAGGATGTGATGGAGGCACGGGCCTGGTAAGGGAACCCATGGGGGTTGGGCACATAGGATTGAATTCCAGTTCTGTGTAACAAGGAGAGGGAGGTACCTTCAAGCTTTCAAAGGGAAATTTATTTTCATTAAAAACAACATGGCGTGAGGTGTAGACACGGCCAGTAGAAGGATCCAAGCAGCGATAGCCTTTGTGATTAGGACTATAACCGAGAAACACACACTCAGTGATGCGGTTGGCAAGTTTATTTTCTGTGTATGCACCAAGGTATGGGAAACAAGAACACCCAAAAATCCAAAGATGGGAGTAAACAGGGGGACGATTATATAGTGTGGTGTATGGAGTTTGCCATTGAAGGGTGGGTGTGGGCAGGAGATTTATAAGATGAACTGCTGTAAGAGCGGCTTCAACCCAAAGGTAGTGTGAACTACTACAAAAAGGGCAACAGACGACCAGTAAACAACGACGGTAGATCAAAAAACCGTCGTTGTTTTTTAAAAGACGACGGTAATATAAACCTGTCGTAGAAACATACTTTACACACCTAAAAAACCGGTACACGTATAGATATTTTTAAACCACGACGCACCAAATTAAAAAAGTGTCGTCTTATTACAAAGGTATTTTTCAGAGTTAAAATCTGAACCTAAAAACAACGATTGCATCTATGAAATCACCGCCGTAGAAAGTAAAGACGACGATATAAAAATAAGGCACCGTGTTAATTAATTAATAAACACGACCCAATTTTCTTAGTCAGCGACGCATAAATTCAAAGGAATCTACGACGGTTAATTACAAAAAAAATCGCGGATTTAAATTAAGTTGCCACGACTGTAAATATAAATTTATCGACTTTTTAATTATACTATACTACTACGGTATCCATAACTCTACCGTCGCATAATTTCACTAACCACGACGGTTTGTTAAATTAACGACGTACAAATTTTTTACCA